AAAAAAGCAAGATGGGTGAAGAAGACAACACTGCCCACGCACTGCCAGGGTCTTGGTTACCCCAAACRCATTCCAACATGCCCCTTTCGACTCATTCCATCCTAACTCCAGCAGAAAAGACACTCGTGGTGACAGGCCAGCACATGGATGCAGGACAAGAAACTCATGGTGATGGGCCAGCACATGGATGATGCAGGGCAAGGAACTCATGGTGATGGGCCAGCACATGGATGATGCAGGGCAAGGAACTCATGGTGATGGGCCAGCACATGGATGATGCAGGGCAAGAAACTCATGGTGATGGGCCAGCACATGGATGATGCAGTGCAGGCTGCAAGACAACTGGATGCAGTTTGGAGGAAACCAGTGTTGAGTGCAAAAAAATGCAGCAGGTTTTGTTCATGGCAGCCCAGAAACACTTTTTTTTCCCAAGCTCTTCCTCCTCTATTGTGTTGGCAGCCAAGCACTGGAAGATGCTGCCCTGGGAGATGCCTGGAATGGGGGAAGCAGGCATGCCATGCAAAATGTAGGGTGTGCAGTCCTGCCCGGGGCCCGTGTCCATCCTCACCTATCCGCACCATCTGGGGGAAGTGCACCGCCTCGCTGGCCCCAGCCTTATTTACGGCTGACACACGGAATCTGTAGGGTCCCCCTGGGGCCAGGCCGCCCACTGTGAACTCGGTATTTGGGATGAGGCCCTCGCTGCAGGACTGCCAGCCAATGCCTGGGATTTTCCTCTCCACCTTGTAGCCCAGGATGTCCCCGCCGCCGTCCCCCAGCGGCTCGTGCCAAGACAGAGTGACCGAGTGGCTGCTCTGACCTAGAACTTCTGGTTCTTCAGGTGGGTCGGGGAGGGCTGGGGGCACAACAGAGGTCCCATGAGGTATGACCTGAGTTACAACACTTCATCCTAAAACACCCAAGAGCCTTCTACAAGCTATGAGGAAGGGAGTGCAGCGGCCTGAATATTTTTCTGTTGAGCTTGTAAAGTTGTAAGTTTGAGGTTGTAAAGTTGAGCATAAAGTCTTTGTAAAGTCATTGTAAACTCATGCTYATGCCCATGAGTACCTGTGTACTGCTGAGGTATCCTCTGTCTGCCCTGATTGATGCTGCTAATGAAAAATTCGCTGCTAATGACAAAAATACATCAATTTTCCAGCTCTCATCTCACATAATTAATGTTGTGTATTGCCTTTGTCCCACCAAGCTCAAAATAAAGATAAGCCTGCACAGTCCATATTATCAAAAAAATCAGYTGAAAAATTCAAGCACATTATCCTTGATTATGCGTATTTTAGGTCTGGCCTAAACGCAAATCAGGTTATTATTGAACTAAAGAATAACTCATATATTTTAATAAGACATCGCTCCATTTCTGTGTAATTGCAGTATATGTCCCAGCATCAGGCAAGAACAAATAAATATGTGAGGGAAATGATCTGKTGTCCTAACGTCCATGATCATGCAATGGTGTGGGTTGGAAGGGACCTTGAAGGTCATCTAATCCCAACCCCTACACTCAGTACTCTGGAAAACGTTCCTCACTTAATTTACATTTTGGCCTCAGAGACAGAAATAGTTCTTTCAGCCTACAAGTTCAAGACATTTACCATATAAATGACTGCGATGATAAACCAATCCAAAGAATAAAAGGCAAAGATGCTCAACAGCCAGTTCTTAAACTCTGGACACAATTAAAGGAATGTAAAAGCTACTTTTTGCTAATGTCAGCCAGATTTCACACAGAAAAATCTGTCAACAGAAGTATTGTGTTCTTATTTTGAAGTTCCTTAAATATAAATGTCCTAAATTAGGAAAAAGCTGATTTAAATCGATCAAGCTTTTTTTTTGTTGTTGCTGTGGAAATGACTGGAACATATATCAGAGTCTCAGGAACCATCAGACAGAGACTGCCTATAATTAATCATGTAAAGAACAGATGGTCCATCAGCGACTCTTGAACACCTCAGCTGCAGTGCACAGCTAAAACACAATCAATTCTCTCACAGCCATCACTGGGATGGTGCTGGTTGACCATTGCTGGGTGACTCACCCAGTAGGAAGGAGCCAGACCTTGAAATGGACACTGACATGTCACTGTCCAACCTGCTCCACAAGCGAATTGGGGAATTATCATCTTCCCTGCCTGTGAAGCACCTTAAGAACTGTTAACACTCGTTAACTCTCGTCTCTGAAGCAGGAGGTGTGTGCTTCATGGGTGTCCCCCACCTGAAAATTTTAATATGCTACTCATTAATATGGAAAACTGGTTGCCCTGCAGATTTCAAATCGGATTGATTAGCAGATTTCAAAGACTTCTCTGCTGTYCTGGATACTTCTTCCACATGGACTTTAGCTCAGCTCCCTCCCATGCCCACGTTTACTGAGGGTGAAGTTGAACTTTGAGAAAAAAGATTTTTGTTCATGTTACATTTTCTAAAATACTGCAGCTAAAGAAAACGGGAGCACCTCAACCATCCCTAGCCTGATAGATTTTTCTTCTGATGAGGTGAATTATTTCTGGCTAAAGAACAAGTTTCTCAATAGCACCTTCTCAGTCTAAGAACACTATTTTGGGACATGTGAGGCAAAGTGACAAGAATCAGCACAAAGACTGGAAAATTCAATGTTGTAGCTCAATACCAAAGTTTGAGATTTCGAGTGCCATTGGGCTGGAACAGCACAGACTTACCTATCACAGAAAGCTTGGCTGATGAAATGGCTTCCCTGGAAGCAAAGGTCACCTCTCCAGAGTGATGCAGTTGGGCTTTTTTCAGAGTGAGTTTGTATTTGTTTCCATCTGCTTGTACCTCCCAATCCTCACCCGATTGGATCTCTATGTCATTACTGTACCAGGTCACTTCGTTAATTGGCACAGCTTCACTCAGGACACAGCTAAATGTTGCTTTTTCCCCCAGAGCCACTTCCACATCCTTGAGGGTCTGCAAGAACTGCAGACGCCACCCTGTAGATTGAAACCAGCAATCGAGCCCTCAGTTACAGAAACAATCCAGAGATTTCGTGAATATTTGTGCTGAAGCTCTGAGCTGCCAGGCCCTGGAGACCAAGGAGATCATTAAAAGGGAGGTTTATGTGTACTGCCACAAGAGAAGGCTCAGAATCACAGAATGGTTTGGTTTGGGAGAGGATTTAAAGTTCATCTCATTCCAACCTCCTGCCTTGGGCAGGGACACCTTCCACTAGACTRCGGTGCTTCAACYCCCATCTGMTCCAAAAYTGGGGACTGGTGGCTGTTGTACTCCTGTACAGGAGGGGGTTCTGATCCCCACAGCAACAGCATGAAATAGAAGGATACAGAGATAATATTGCTGCTGATAAAACCCTCCTCTCTGAAGCCCTGAAATACCTGTAAACACAACCAGACTCATCAGAATCCTGATAACACTGGGACAGTCATTTACTGACAACTCAGAGCCATCTGATGCTGCTTGTAAACAGTGTCATGTCCCACAGAACAAGAAWATGAGAACATTGTAAAATGCCATCCATTTAGGGGTGAGAGAACTGGATTTGTTCTGCCTGAAAAACAAAAGGGTTTGGGTTGCAGCCTTCCAGTACTTGAGGGAGCCTACAAGAAAGATGGAGAGGGGCTTTTTACAAGAGCATGGAGTGACAGGACGAGGGGGAATGGGATTGGATGAGAGTAGGCTTACATGAGATATTAGGAAGGAATTGTTCCTGGCTGTGAGGGTGGGGAGGCCCTGGCACATGGTGCCCAGAGCAGCTGTGGCTGCCCCTGGATCCCTGGCAGTGTCCAAGGCCAGGCTGGACACTGGGGCTTGGAACAGCCTGGGACAGTGGAAGGTGTCCCTCACATGGCAGGAGGTGGCACTGGATGATCTTTAAAGTCCCTTCCAACCCAAACCATTCCTTGATTCTGTGGTTCTGTGAGTTAGTGGTGGGCTTGGCAGAGTTAGGGAAAGGTTGGACTCAATGATCTTGGCAATCATTTCCAACCAGAGTCATTCCATGATTTTTTGSTGGGAAGAGCATTTAGGTAAGAGGCAAGCAACAAATGTCATTTTCCTCACTGCTACTCATAATTTTTTCCTGGTTCCTTTCCCTTTTCAAACCAGAAGCTGAGGGAAAGCTGCCCCTGCCCCAGCACTGGAGTTACCTTTCACTGTCAGGAAGGCTGAGGTCACTGCGTCACTGCACATGAAAGTCACCCTGCAGCTGTCCTGGGGAGTTAAATTCTTCAGCAGCAGGATGTGCCTGAGGCCATTTTCAAAGTAAACCATCTCGGTGTTCTCTGTGGTTTTGGCAGGTTGGTCGTCAATCAGCCAGTTGTAATTGTAGGTCTCGGGTTTGGAGAGGTAACACTCAAACAAGGCCTCCCCTCCTTCCACAGCCTCCACRTTCTCCAAGCCTTGGACAATGCTGTTCTTGGCTAGAAAAGAAGGAAAATGAGCATTATTAATTATCTGGCCACATACTTCTGAATATTAACGAGTCTCAGAGTACTGGATGATCCCCACTGCTGCAAAGTGGCTGATGGAAAAATGTGGACACAGCCATGCTCTAACACAATATTATAATTTAAAAGATTTAAAGACAGTCCAAAAATAATGAYAAAGCTCAAGAACCTCTAGCATTTCATCTAGAACCTCTAGCATTTCACCTGAATTTCCTCCAAAAACCTTACTTTTTTTATAAATAAAGAAAAAAAATGGTCATATTTGTATGAATCAGGCTAATAGTCTGATAGGAAAGATAGGAAGGCATACTCAGCAGGATAAAGTCGAACCAAATTCCCTTTGTCCAATGACGGGAAGCATTTCCCAAAGAGCTCACAGACAGCACAATTATCACCATGAGTGGGGAGATGTGAATCCACTGACAGCTCGTGATAAAATCTTATTACTTTTCTTGCAAAGCAAATGTAAGAGAATATTATGGCTGGCAAAGCTAYAGTGACGGTTATCCGAGATAATTCTGCCTCCAGGACACACAGAAAGTCAAAATCTGTATCAAGAGTACTTTGMAGAGTAAATTTCTGAATTATTACAACAGCTCTGTGACATTTAGGTTTATTTTCCCATGCTGTGGGGTGAGTTGTGGGGTCAGAAACCTGCACAGATCTCCACACTCCAAAGTCATGCATCAGCTGGCACCTGGACAGAAACAATCAGCCTGATGCCAAATTATGTGGGTATAATTAATGTTGTTACAGGGACAAATGACATGCACAAGGGTGGGGACACACAGGTGATTAAATACAGTTCACACAAATGCCATAAAATGATCAGCATGATTTGGGTTATAAAGCAACATCCCGAGACATCCCTGCTTAGATCTATACAGGAAGTGTGCACAGCAAAAAAAAAAAAAAAAAAAAAAAAAAAAAAAAAAAAAAAAAAAAAAAAAAAAATAGAAACAAATAATATTTAAAAGACCACCCTAAATGGAGCCATTTATTTAAAAGCAAAAGCAAACAAACAAACATACCCAAAAAGCTCAAGCTACCAGCTATTTATTAACTTATTACTAATTMTGAGGTGTCCAGAGGGGTTGTGTGTGGACTTCCCATCCCTGGAAGTGGTCAAGGCCAGGTTGGAGGGGCTTGGAACACTCTGGGATAGGGAAAGGTGTCCCTGCCCATGGCAGGGGGGTTGGAACTACATGACCTTTTTGGTCCCTTCCAACCCAAACTATTCCGGTATTCCATCATACTATAAAAATTCTGGAGTTTATAATATACTTACTTATAGAGAACAATGAGGGCATTGCAGATTTTTCCTGGAGAATATATAATTTTTGTTAGAACAACTCCAAGTTGTTTATTTGTGCACTTTTGAAGCACTGTTTTCTCTAATTTTGGAAAGCAGCCAATTGCTAACCCTAYATCCTCTGAGATGCTTTTAGATTACGATCATTAAAACCTTTTTAAATCCCTAAAATGGAAAGTGCTTTTCAAAGTAGAAAACATTATAATAAATAACACCCTGTCCTTCTGCACTAACAGCTCTACTTAAGCAAGAAGGCAAAATAGCCACAAATATTCAGAAATCAGAACCTGCTCTTGCTGATTACTAATTCACTTGGTAACCAAACTCAGTAAAGCCATATGCAGCAGAAATAAAAATAAGAACCACCCATGTAAAGTCTTAACTTTCTGTTATTTTTTTTTCCTGTTCCTCAGGGCTTTCAGAAATGCTGATGCCGAGGGAGGAGGTAATTCCTGAGGCATCACTATTTGACACAARTAAATTACCAAGCTGCCTTAGCTCAGCTGAAAATCAAATTGAATTCCACACCATCCTTTAGTCACTGGTTTTAAGGCATGCTGTTTAAAAAGCAAAAAATATGCATGTTTTTCCTTTGGACCAACACTACACCTGTGATTTTACAACTCAGCAGAACGTGTCCCATCTCAGAGATATTCCAGTTCATTGCACAAGAGGTGGGATGGATAAATGGTGCAATGAGTGAGTGTTGGAACTAAGCTGATGCTGCAGGTTCATAACCAATTCCTATTACCTCCCTACTCTTTTCACCCTCATTATCAGTGTGGAGTAAACATCAAGAGCAGGTCTCTGACGTGTCCCTCACTGCAAAGCCTTGCTGTGGTTTTTCTACCTCTTTTATTTGGAACTCATGGTAGTCTTCCTCTCTGGCTGGAAGACCTCACCTTGGACATCAAGTGTAGCCATCACTTTAGTGCCTTCAGCTTCACAAGAATAGATGCCAGTGTCTTCTGGGACCGTGGGGTTAATTTTTAGCATGCTCACATTCCAGTCCTGATCGATAATCACTCGCTGCCCATCTGCATGAATTTCCTGATCATTTTTCTTCCAGATGGCGTGCACTGGCCTAGAATATTGGCAAATGAACTCTGCGGGGCCATCTTCGTCAACAGTTATGTCCTGCATGGGACTGACCACTTCAATGGTGGGATCTGTTAACCAACACGTCAGGAAGGACATGCGTTAGCGGATCCCCRTGGAAATCCCCGCTCGGAGGGTTTTGCCAAGCACAGAGCCCGTGGGGAGTGAGCAGAGTGATGGTGCAAGCCAGGCAGGATGGGGTTAGCAGTTTAGTCTGTGCCTGTGCCAGCATCAAGCAGGATGGAAGCCAAACCGGTGCGTTAGGGCATGACCACCACACTGGGAAATGGGCCACCAAGAATTAAGGCTCGTGCTGGAACAGTCCTGACTGGGGACTGCTGGGCAAAGCAGCTGCTGGGATTCCCTCCAGGCTTAGGTTTTATCCCAGTGTTTCCAAGATCTTCTAGGCTGGGAAGCACTGGATGTGAAACACTTCTGCTTCCCAAATGTGGAGCACAAGTGTGATGCAGAGAAATGTAACCCTCAACCTCACAGAGCCATAGGAAAACACCACAACATCTACTGGATGTGTGACCAAATTATTCATCAGAAACACAGTCCTCAAACATTCCTGTCCTGGGTTGGTCTTGGCTGTCAAAAGTCACAGGCAGTATGAGAAGCAAAGACCCAGGGCAACTGTGACAAAAAAGGGCACTTTTTTTGATGAGCAGATTAATATTGTTTTGTGTTCCTCTCCAGCAGACACACTGTTTGGGGAAAAACAATACAATTTCCTTTACAGCTTTTTATCTAGAGATCACCAAGAGACCATAAACCCTTGACATCTCAGATTGAGAGCCCATAAAATGCTGAGAGCAGCTGGATATGCAGCTCCTCTGAAGGTGGGTGAGACCCATGAGGCTGCTTTTAAGCACTTTTGAAAACCAAGATCTGCCTCTGTAGGGCACAGCAGATATATCTGACCTAAAATAYTTCCAAAGCAGCCAAGGAATCCCTCCTGAGATGTCAGACTGGACCGTGCATGTACAATGGAATATGCAGGTGAAAAGGAAAAATCTCATTGAAGTCTCTCTGAAACATCATCCTCAGCAGGATTACATCAACTTCCAAAAAAAACCAAACCTGATAGGGCTACAAAGGGACATAAAAAGATGACAGAGAAAKCTGAGAGAGCATCAGGAGTTGGACATGGTGATCCTTGAGGAACCCTTCCAGCTCAGGACATTCTATGGTTTTCTGATATGTCCTTATCCTTCAAAGAGTTGTTCCGATCCCAAGCCAGCTGAAATAACTGACACAGGACATCTGCCTGGAAGGTCCCCTTCAAACAGCAGGCTGAGGGTTTGGGATGCCTCTGGCAGACCCTGAAGAGCAAAGACAGCTCTGCAAACATATGGAGAATCATATAATGAGTCTTGATCCTATTCCCTAAGGCTCCCTCTGCCACTTCAGGTGTGTTTGTGGAGAGGAGGTCTTGATGGAAGATCTCGGAGATGTTTTGGTGACCAAAGAAAYGAGCAGGTGTCTGTGCAGCTGGGGAGCACAACACCATCCCCTCCCATGAGATGGAGAAATGTGTTTCTCACAGCAAATATCATCCATGGGCTTGGAGAAGGGAGCTGTCCTGGTTCCTCTGTCCCCTTGTCCCCTTGCTCTTGGCCAGGGAAAGGACCTTGGTGGCTCTGTTCACCTGTGCAGGAGCTCTTCGGGATGTAGGAGCCAACGTGTGCTCCAGGACCTGCAATTCTCACCTGCCCAAAGGGGCCAGAAAACGGTGGCAGCTCCTTCACCCTTCCCCATCCTCCCCCAGCCATCCCTGAACCATCACCTCAGGCCATGTGATGAACGCAGTTGTAGGGCAATAATTCTGTGAAGGGCCAGCGTGAAAAGCTGAGATCTTAGCTACAGAGCATATCCAATCATGAACATGCCTTAARCCAGGAGAATGAGGCATATGGAATGGAAAGTCACCTTGTTTTGAAGGGCAAGCCATGGATAGCTGAYAGACTAAAATACAGTTCAGAGATGGATCTAATTTTAAATGTCTGGACAAAATAAAGTGTACAAAATTTCCTGTTAATACAACGATGGTTGGAATTTTACAGTGTTTCACTTTCCGTGAAATCACCGTGTAACCGGGGTTATCTGAATCCAGTTATAAACTACTGCTACTGTGATTCAGGTTTGTAATGAACCAATCTCAGCTTCATGGCAGCACAAAATATCCACATACAYGTGGGGTTRGACTGGATGATCTCCAGAGACTTCTTCCAAAATGAGTCATGCTGTGATTCCATGAAATGGGAATTTCTCAGGAACCCTTTATTTCACTGAGTAGAACACATAATAATGCATTTATTTTCCATTTATGTTTTAGGCTCACTGGAATTCTTTGCCTGGAGAGCTCAGAACCAGCTTGTCTTTGGAAATTGATGCAAACACACACAGGACTTGCAGGGATTGCACAGTGTGTTGTCACTGCATCAATCTATGTCATGAAGAAGTGATTTCACATTTTATCTTTGCAGAAGACCAAATTTTCTGAATATACAAGGGAGTCATTATGCAGAGAAGGAGACATCAACCACTGACTACAATTCCATGTTGTGGAATTCCTGTTATCACCCAGTTATAGCAGGGAGCAGATTTGAATAAAGACCTTTTAACACTTTACAATCTCTGTATATATCCATTTTCTAAGTAAGGTATAACCATTAATATTGTCTGAAAAATAACAGATTTTCCCCAAGGCTGTAAAAGGACTGGGTGGGAAGGAGCTTGCTTTATCAAGTCTGGAGCTCAGTGTTATTTGCAGCTTTTGGCTACCCTTACCAAATGAGAAAACTATTATTTAACACGCCAGAAAGCTTTACCAGAGGAGGGATGAGCTTTGAAAAATGAGGCGTGTTTTGTGTCTGTTACTGGAATGCCACACATCCTTTGGTTTCCAAGAACAGCTCAAAGTCCTGTCCTGACAATGTGCTGAGCTCAAAACCAGCTGTGGAGCAGCACGGTGGCAATTCTGTGAATTATCATGTCCATAAGATTTTGTGGCATTATTAAAAAAAAGATGAAGTGAGGTTAAAAAACGCAGGTGCTACTACAGATGTTTATGYTCATGTCTTCTTTGACATCAGGTGAAAGCAGCACCTCAGACCCTGCAACCCTCCCTCACCTGAACCACGGCAAAATTCAGTGTGGTTGTACCTGGAAGACTTCTGGGGTGAGAGTGGGTGACTTGCAGGGCACAGAAGAACCATGAAGGGATTTGGTAAGGGTAGCCTGAAGGGCAGAAGCACCAGCACAGAGCAAGTCCACAGGTGGCCACGTGTTTCTTTCTGACAGGGAAATACCTTTGACTAATAATTTAGCTGAAGATATAAGCGACCCAGCTCTGAAGGTGACAGTGCCCGAGTCGTGGCACGCCACGTCATTTAGGGTTAAAGTGTGGATCCTGCCGTCCTGCTCAGAGATTTCGGTCACCAGGTTGTTGTGGAGGGGGGTCCCATCGAGCCACCACTGCACGTTCTTCACGCCCGGGTGTGAGAGCTCGCAGGTGAATGTGGCTGACTCGCCCACAAACACATCTGTGCTCCTTAAACCAGACACTATCACTGCTGCTTCTTCTGCATGACAGAGCAAGAGAAGGTGCCAAAGGAAAACAAAAACAGACACGTGCAAGTCGCTCCCTGCAGAACCGACCCCAGCCCGAATGCAAGGCATCCAGGGGAATTAAAGCTGTAGTGCTTTTCTGAGGAAAAACAGCTAAAATCTTCTTGAAGGGAGTTTAGAAACCACCTTCCATCCCTGCAGTTGCTTGCAAGAGCAGCGTGTGCATCTGCAAACATCATTTCACTGGGAGGAAACTCCACTCCATGCTCAGGTCATGCCTGGCTCCCCTGTGTTGTAACCACCTGATGATGCTGTATGAAGCAGGARGCAGAGAGGTACTTAAAGATTTAAATGTTCACTTGGGAGTTTTAAAGGAGTAGGAAGAATATCAGCAATTATAGAAGCTAAAAATCAGTTATAACAAGAATTTCAGTATTTTTTATGACCACTGCTCCAAGTTTTCCAGCAGTACCACCATCTGCTCTGTTACACAGTATGGCAAACACTTAGAACTAGTTTAACTTAAAAATACTGGTCCCACCTCAGCCTGGAGATGAGTATTTATATCTTCACTGGAATCAGGAAATAAATGGACTTTCTGCTGTTTGGCCAGCTACTGTCAAAGATTTTGGAGTAAGAAATCCAGGCAGCAAAAGCGGAGCAATTCCACCAGATTTCACMACCTTACCTTGCACATACACAGAGCCCGTGGTGATCTCGTATCCAGTGCTGCAGGTGTAATCCCCACAGTCATCAGGCTCTACACCATGGATGATCAGCTCAGCTACGCTGCCCTTCAGCTTCACCTCGTACTTGTCACTGGGCTGGATGACCAGCCCTCCTTTCCTCCACTCAACGGGAGCGTCCGGCCTGGAGATCTCACAGTGCAAGAYGGCCGTTCCCCCTTCTTCAGTCTCTACGTTTCTCAGCTCTTTGTTAAACAGCACTGGCAGTACTGTGGTGGAGAAGCAACTGCATCAGTGACAGCGCCCAGGGCTGAGGAGCTGCTTGTCACTTGTGCAGCTGGGCTGCTCCCTTCTCTCTGAACCACAGTTTGCCTGCTGGCCACAGCCAGACACTCACGGGATCAGCTGCTGATATTGAAGGTGTCCAGTGCTGCTCCATAAAGGGCTACCAGAGGTAACGGGGCCCCTGAAGCTCTGCACATGGCCATACCCATCACTCTCAGTGAAAACACAGCAATACCAATCCCAGCACTGAGAGGCTGAATCCCATGGGCTGGAAAAGACCTTTGAGATCATCAAGTCCAACCCTTAATCTAGCACAGCCAAATCCACCACTAAACCACGTCCCCAAGTGCCACATCTACACATCTTTGGAATATCTCCAAGGATGGGGACTCCACTGCTTCCTTGGGCAGTCTGTGTAACGCTTGAACCCTCTTTCAGTGAAGAATTTTTTCCTAATATCCTATCTAAACCTCCAGGGGTGCAACTTGAGCCATTTCCTCTTGTTTGTTACTTGTGAGGATAAACCAACCTCTGCCTGGCTACCTCCTTCTGTGAGGCAGTTTCAGAGAGTGGTAACATCTCCCCCAAGCCTCCTTCTCTCCAGGTTAAAAAAMCCCAATTCCCTCAGCTGGAACATGAGACTTTGGGTATTTAATCTCTGAAACCACCTGCGCTGAGCAGGGGTTGGTCATGGTGACTAAACCCACAATCTAAATGTATAGCCTAATCTAAAAGACATAGAATTCTCAGCACAAAATGAACAACACTGTAAAATCCAAAACCATAGAATTCTTAACACAAAGTGAATGAAATTGTAAAATCCCAAAGCATGGAATTCTTAGTACAAAGTGAATAAAACTGTAAAATCCCAAACCATGGAATTCTTAGTATAAAACAAATAAAAGTAGAAAATCCAAAACCACAGCCACTAGAGAAAGGCTAAAAGCCACAATTCATGGCTGCTGTATAAGAGATACAAAGGCTCAGTTTAAAACAGGCTTGTTCCAGGTGCGGTGAAATACCTCAGTTTAATTTCACAGATACAGAATATCAGTGACAATTCARTGATAAAATTTCCATGTGGATGTGGCACTTGGGGACATGGCTTAGTGGYGGGCTTGGCATTGCTGTGTTAATGATTGGACTCAGTGATCTCAAAGACCTTTTCCAACCTAAATCCCAGATTGGTTTGGGTGGGAGGGACCTTGAAGATCACCYAGTTAGGACCCTCTGCCATGAGCAGGGAAGCTTCCACCAGAGCAGGAGGCTCAGAGCCCCATCCAGCCTGGCCTGAATGATTCTGAGATCCCTCTGTGAAGGACAGACAGAGCCAGGACTTCCGTGCCCCCAAACAAGCCCTGTCCTACCTTTGACCTGCAGCGAGGCTGTGGTTTGCTGATCCCCCGAGTCACAGGTGTAATCTCCAGCATCCTGAGCCTCAGCCTCGTAGATGAGGAGCTCCACTCGYGTGCCCTCCTGGCGGAACTCGTACTTGTCACCGGGCTGCAGCACCGTGTCCCCTTTCCTCCACTCCACGCGCGCGTGGGGCTGCGTGAGCTCGCAGCGCAGCACGGCCGTGCGCCCTTCCTCCACCTCCTCGTTCTTCAGCCACTGCTTGAACAGTGTGGGCAGCCCTGGGAAGGTGCAAAGAGGAGAAAAATGGGTGAGGCAGAAATAGAAAATGGAGCAATGCTTTATTTTTAAAATATGGGCAGAGCCGTTCATGGAGTTCACAGACAGCTCTGGTTGCATTTCCCTAAGGAGAGTTTCCAGGGATTCCTTGGTCAAAGCTAGACAGAGAAGGAAGAGGAATTAATCAGCAGAAAAAAACTGATTTCTGTGTGAGCTACATTTCTTTCCCTCTATCCCAGACTTCTTTTCACAAAGAATTCCCAGCTAATTTCAGCAGTTATTACTGAAGGCCAGATAGCTGTCCATCCTTGAAATAAAATTGCAGAACAGGATAAAAGCACTCCAAGGACATACAAATACATATAAAATAAAAAAATATATATACGTATATTATATTATATATATATGTATACGTATATTATATTATATATATAATATATACGTATATTATATATATATGTATATTATATATACAATTATATATAATTGTACATATTGTGTATATATATATATGTTAGGATATAATATTACAATGTCTAGAACATATGAGAACACTGGAATACATAGAATATACAGAATATATAAACTAATAATAGAATAATAAATACAAAATAGAATTATATCTATAATACATATATATGATACAATATAATAATATATGTGGACTATATTAGAATATTAGAATATATATAGRATATATAAATTCAGGGTTATAATTGGAGGTTTCCGATCATGCAGCCAGGAATCAATAACAGAATAAATAAGACTTGAAATAACTTTTGGAAGTCCTCCATGAATGGAGATTCCTCCACTCTTCCGGGTCTCAGTTCCAATGTCTGACCACTCCTTCGCTGTGAAAGGATGGATTTTTTTCTAATCTGAATGTCTTTCACTGCGTCTTGCATTTTTTGCCTCTCATCTGTTTTCTGAGCACTCCAAGCAAGCTTTGTGYATCCCTGCTCTGCAGATCTGCATTAAGAAGCTGCAGACAGCAATGAGGTCTCCCTTTCCCAGTTCACAAACACAGCTGCCCTTGCCTCTGCTTACACTTAGACCCCAGAATTGTTTAAATTAGAGGGTACCATCACCTTATKCCATCCCTTGCCCTGGGCAGGGACACCTTCCACTATCCCAGGGTGCTCCAAGCCCTGTCCAACCTGGCCTTGGGCACTGCCAGGGATCCAGGGGCAGCCAGAGCTTCTCTGGCCATGCTGTGCCAATTATTTTACCATCCTCACTGCAAAAAAAAACATCTTTCTTACATCTGATCTAAATTGTCCCTCTTTTGGTTCAAAACCATTGCCCCTTGTCCTGTCACAACACATTTTGTCCACGTACTCCATGTGCTACGGCCCCTTGAAAAATTCGGTGGATTCTGCTGCACTTTCTCCACTAATCATTATCTTTCTTGTAGTAGAGAGCTCTACAAATCGATGTTCCCTCCTCTCAGCGCTGCCGGGCAGAGAGAAAACCATACCTTTAACCTCGAGTGTGGCCGTGGTGCTGCCAGCGGCCGTGTGGCAGCTGTACTCGCCGGCATCGGCGCGGCTCAGGTCGCGGATGAGCAGCGTGTGCACGGTCCCCTCCTGATGGATGCTGCACTTGTGGCTGGAGCGGATCACGGACGAGCCCTTCTTCCACTCCACGGGGACATCGGGCTGGGACAGCTCGCAGGACAGCTGAGCGGTGCCACCCTCCTGCAGCTCCAGGTTGTGCAGCTCCTTCACAAAGGTGACCGAGGCAGCTGTGGGGAGAGGGGACCGAYGCTGCTGTGACAGCCTCACCCAGCATCACCCCGGGGAAGGGCTGGGTGGCTGCAGTTACATTTGGAACCGGATGGAGGAGGAACGAACAGCATAAAGTATAGGCCATCTCTCAAAAATCATTCTACATCACTTGACAAAAAGGTTTTTCCGAGTTTTCACACTTTTTTTAATAAATGTGATCTAAAAGCATCCTAAGTAGGAGATTAACTCAGACCATATTCCTGAGATTCTTCAGCATTGATTCTGACATATGATTAGCTGCTTAGTTGGAGGGTCTTCAAAGGGTGTTAATATTAATTATTATACCAAATAACATCAAAGGATGGTAATATTAATTACTTTATCAAACAACATCAAAGGATGTTAATATTAATCTTCACTCCACGTACAATAAAACTGACTGAAACGACTGGCTCGGCTGTACCTCTCTAAAATGCTAAATTAGATTAACAGAAGCTCCTAACATTTCCCTAATCCTCAGTACACCTCTGCATGAGTCAGAGCAGTGCCATCAGTACCTCCTCCRCCCCTCTCTGCATGAGGCTGCTCACCTTGGACCTTCAGCTGTGCTGCTGAYGAATGCTGCCCCACTTTGAAACTGACGGACCCACAGTCTTCCAGAGTCACCTTCCTGAGGATCAGGCTGTGCCGGGTCCCTTGGACCCTGATCTCGTTCATTTCGTTGGATTGCAGGGGAACATCCCCCAGGAACCACTGGGCATCCTGAGCTGTCTCCCGGGACAGGCGGCACTCGAACACCGCGTCTTGTCCTTCGTAGGTGGTGACATCCTTCAGCCTCTCCACGATGGTGGCTGCTGCTGGCTCTTTATGGAAAGGGCAACAGAGTTGGAGATCTATTTTCAAGTRATGTTTCCTGGGTTAAACATTTTGTTATGCTCTTTCTTGACTGGACTGTGATACTGTTATTTGAAGCCCTAAATACTGAACCTGGGGRTGCTCAGCCTGGAAGAGAAGGCTTTTGGGGGCTTATAAAGAGRAGGAAGAGGGATTTTTGTGGGAGAAGATAGTGACAGAAAAAAGGGGGAATGTTTTCAAACTGAAAGAGGCCAGGATTACCTTAGACATTAGGAAGGAATTCCTCCCTGTGAGGGTGGGGAYGCCCTGGCACAGGGTGACCAGAGAAGCTGTGKCTGCYCCTGGATCCCTGGAAGTGTCCAAAGCCAGGTTGGACATGGGGCTTGGAGCACCCTGGGATAGTGGAAGGTGTCCCTGCCCATGCCAGGGGGTTGAGAGTAGATTATCTGGAAGGTTCTTTCCAACCCAAACCATTCTGTGGTTCTGTGATTCTAAATTCATGGAAATGTAGGTACACAGGCATGTAGCAATGTGTTACAGTCTTACAGATGCAAGTTTTATGCACATGTGCACAACACATGTATTATACTATTATAGTATGCACATATAAATAGCAATGTAAAAAGGATGTTGTGTGTATAAAGATATTTAATGTGTGTAACCACCATCTGTAAGCTGTGAAAAAACAATAAACAGATTTCCATGGGTGGAAATTAATCATTAAACCACAGAATCAGTGACTAAAGGGACCCATTTCTAGAGGTCACTGACCCAGTTCTTATCCCTGTGAAACTGCCCATATCTCTGAGATCCCCGTGATTCTCCTCGAGCATGGGACAATGTTTAGCTATCCAATTACTCAATCCCGTGCCCCTGCCATGGTACCAAGCTCTGCCCAGCTCTTCCCCATGCAAAGCCCCACCTCTGAGGTGCACTGCTGCCGTGGTTTGCTGGTCCCCTGTGTCACAGGTGTASTCCCCAGCGTCGGCCTCGCTCAGGTTGTGAATGGTCAGCTCYGCCACCGACCCCGCCTGACGCATCTCGTATTTGTCACCGGGGCGCAGAACCGTCCCCGCCCTCTTCCACTGCACAGAACYGTTGGATCTGGAGATTTCACACCTCAGAGTGACAGTGCCACCTTCTTCAGCTTGTTGGCTCTGGAGTGGCTGTGTGAAGGTGACTGGAGAGGCTAAACCAAGAGAAATCAGAAAGTAAACATCATGTTGATATTACTCACTSCGTACCTAAGCCTTGTGTTTGATGGAACTCCGGTGCTGTCCCAAATTTAGTTCAAGCTCAATTCCCAAATTAGTTTAAAAGGAAAGCAAGGAATGACAGCAAGTGCCGGATTTCCAGGAGCTTTGAGCACTCCTGAAGAGTCACTGGACTCTACATTCACGAGCATCTCTAGGATTATGATCCTTCTCACACAGGAATGTGAGGATATGGGATACAGGAATGGATACAGGGTCTTGACCCTCAGAGTGTGTATCTCCAAAGTCACTCAAAAACTTTAAAAAGCTCAATTCAAAAGTCTACTCCTGACATCCAAGTTCTTGTGTACTTGGGAGAGTGCATGCAGAAACTTCCTAATATGATATTCCTTATTTGAAAACTGGACYCAGCACAGAAATGAACCCTGGAAGTCTCTCCATTGATGTCATCATCAATGGGTCAAGGTGGAGTTTTGATGAATGGATTTCTGAAGCGCCACATGTAGAAGATTAACTCCTCGAATCCAGGTGCTTCACTGGAAGTACCTCGGTGGCTCCACACTTGCTGGTATTTTTTAATACATATGTATATATTCAGTCAATTGTTGAAATTGGTATTTACAGTGTGAYTGCAGAGGCTTCCTCAATTTCTTGGGTTTGGATTTTTTTTCAGGGARTGCTGGAGTGGCTGTGACCACACAGAGAGGCAAAAATGGGCAAACACCATTAAAGGACCTGCTTTCAGTACCAATATTCTGGTATCCTTGAGTTGAGGAGTCAGTCCAAGAGCAGGCAGGTGTGTGCCCTTCATAGGGGAGCCCTCAGGGATATTTCAAAAGGTGGAATTTAACAATATCCTGGCTCATTTTTGTTTTTCCTAATCATGTATCTCAGAAAGTCACCTTAATGTTGTATTTGTATCAGATTAGATTGGAAAAAAAAMCAGATACATTGGCACATTATACCTATTTTAAAGACCTTTGGCACCAGGATTGTTTAGGTGCCTTGCTTGTTAGCTGGGATTGAGTGTCCAAGTTTGAATAATTTCACCTGGATCACCATTTTTCCAGGACAACTACAGCTCAAGGGATGCTTAAGCATCCAAAATAGTCCTAATTTAATTTTAGCTCCAGCCCTGATTTTCTGAGTGGCCAGAGGCCATAGACTCTGAGATTGTGAGATTGTCTCACATCGTGGAAGCAATTACAGCACCTGGGTCCCTGCATTTTTTCTTGCTCAGGGCACCCCAGGACTTCTGAAATCAAAAGGACTCAGCTGCTTTTTGACAGCTCAGTACATTTGAAGTCAAGGACAGGAGACTGAATCCTCTTGGCAGAGTCAAACTAAGAGAGAAGAGAGTTCCTCATCTTGAAAAAACCCCAACACAACCTGCCTTTAACAGTCAAAGTGGCTCTAGTTTGCTCATTTCCAGTAGCACAGATGTATTTGCCAGGGGCTTCTGGTTTTAAGTGAATAATCTTTAAACTAAGGACTGTTCCCTTCTGCCTAATCTCATACTTGGAGYTTGGGGTGATCACCTGAGGGCCCTTTTCCCATTTCACCTCAGSACTGGRCTGGGAGAGCTGGCAGCAGAGGATMGCTGTGTCCTCCTCCTGCACTTCCATGCTCTGCAATTTCTCCTGAAAGACTGGAGGTGGCACTGAAATTCCAAACAAAGCAAAGGATTTGTTTGCTTTGCCTTCTTTGTTTTGTTTTCTTTGCTTTCTTTGTTTTCCAGGCACCTTCRTCTCATTTCCCGTGGCATTGAAATTACAGCCAAATGGTTGAGCATTTAAAAAATACTCAGTTATTTACTGAGGGATTAAAAGAAGATTCTAAGAGGGAAGGAAAAGTATGTTGGATGGAAAGTTACATCAAAATAATGTTCAGAGAATGAAAGAAATAGAAAAACAGATCTGAGCAAGCTGATCTGGCTGAAGGTGTCCCTGCTCAATGCAGAGGGATTGGACCACATGACCTTTAAATGTTCCTCCAAATCATCCTGAGGTTCTAAAAGGGGGAATGGAAGCAGTGAAAATTCCAGGTCTATCCATCGAAGCAGTGAAGCCAAGGCAGTAATTTCAGGAATTTTCAGGAATCAGGGAGCCTCAGGGCCCAGGGGACACATCCCCTGCCCATCTGTGGGGATTGCAGTCACAGATGCTTTGGAGCACAAGCACCCCAAAGACAGGAGMCAACAAGGGGTGAATTTTGGTTTTAAATTTACTGTCAGCATAAGGAAAACCTCCCCTGTTCCCACTGATCCCGTTCCACCCCATACTGAACCCTCACCTTTCACTGTGAGCTCTGCCGTTGACGTGTAGGGTCCCACTCGGAAAGTGACGGTGCCAATGTCCTGCTCAGTCACCTTCCTTAGGGTCAGGGTGTGGATCTTCCCTTTTTCCACTGAGATCTCRTTCATTTCGTTGTTCTGCAGACCCACATCCTGCAGCTTCCACTCGACATCCCTGGCGTTCTCGTGGGAAACCTGGCACCGAAAGGTGACATCGTCCCCTTCGGACACCACCATGTCCCTGAGGCCACTCACAATGGTCACGTCAGGCTCTGCGAGGAGGCAGAAGTGGGAAAGGAAAGGGAAAATATGGATCAAATCATGGAACTGTRAATAACACAGGCTGCAGTGGATTTTTGGAAGTCACCTGCTCCAGCCACTGTTCAAAGCAGGGCCAGGTTGCTCAGCCCCTTGTCCTTCAAGGACCACCAAGACTACGGACAGCACAGCYTCTCAAATCACATTTAAAGCTCTGCTTTCAGAGTACTTGGCAGCAGCACAAATGACTTTTGGACAGTGGCTTTACCACTTGTCCTTGCTCAGARACACACTGCATATTAATTTTTTTAATTATGCTTGATACTCTAATTGGGTGAACAAGGCATGAATGCCAGATGCCAAAATCACRATTTTTTAATTTGTTCCATTTGCACTTAGACATCTTCACAGGATCACATCAAAGCCTGATCCTCTCTATTCTATTTCTGTSAACAGAATTGCATTTACTCCATGCTGATGCTCCAGACTGGCTGAGGCTCTGGCTGGCTTTGTCCTGCCAGCAGGACTCAYTGGATTAATGTGAGCAYAGGGGTTCTGCACTGCAGTTTGCCYAAGTCCTGCTTCTGTGCCAGCTGGGAACCTGCACACAGACAACCCCCAGCAGGCAGAAGCTGTATATACCCCAAATCCGCTGGGGAATACAAAAGGAATYATAAAAGCACYAATRTTGGAMAAGACCTCCAAAATCATTGAGTCCAACCATTAAAAAGCAGCCCAGTGTCCCTCTGAGCAAGCCCAGTGGATATTCCCACAGCCAAGGTCACCATCTGCACAACAAATGGTGCAGCAGGGTGAGATATGCAGGGGATCACAACGTGGAGTAGCCTGTGGAGATGCTGCGGGTGTTTGTTCCACAGCACCGGTGCAGCCTCAGCTCTGCAGTGATTTCAAGGCCAGATGCAGCTGCCGTGTGACTGCAGGCTGGGGCTGGACCATCTGTTCACTCCCCTGCATCTCATGTCAAGCAAATATTCCAAACCATGAGTCACAGGTTACAGCTGCCTCATCCCCTTCTGTCTACCAAGTTAATCTTGGCTTCAGTGCATCCACTGACCATAAGAGTTTTTATGATTCTRATACCTTATCGAGCTTAGCTAAACCAGAGGTTGGACAGAATTCAGAGAATAAAAAGCAGTTCTATTTATTGCAGGGCCTTCTGGTGCATTCAGGGCAGTCCCAGCCCACCCAGGGGCTGCACCCACAATGGACAATGGCTCACGAGTTTTTCACCCTTTCTCAGTTTTGTCCATTTGCACATTGGGGCTGAATCCTCCAATTCCAGCTCAGCCAATGCAGTCATTGACTCCAAGCTGGCTCCCCCAATTCTCTGTTGTTTCCATCTCTTGGGGCCTGGCATAGTGAGGTGTCCTTGAGTTTAGGGCTGCAGAGGAATGGTTTTGTGTAAAAATGGGAGAGCAGGAGCTCAGCACTGTCTGTGGAGTCTGGAGTTACCCATTAAAGAATTACAGGGTTTCAGAGACAAGAAAATAGAGAATCTGGAATCCTGAGGCATCAATACCCTTCCTGTGAAATCTTAGTTTCCTAAAGTGTAAATGTGGTCCCAGCACACAGGTCTTGCCTTTCACGGTGAGCTTGGCAGAGCTGGTCTGGTCTCCAGCCTTGCAGGAATATTCTCCAGCATCRCCAGGCTCCAGGTGGTGAACGCGGAGCTCCCGGAGGGTCCCGTCCTGCCACATCTCATACTTGGAGCTGGAGCGCAGGAGCACTCCATCCTTCCTCCACTCCACTGCTGCCTTGCTGATGGAAATCTCACAGCGCAGCCTGGCTGTTCCTCCCACTTCTGCTTCCTCATTCCTCAGCTGCTGCTTCAGCTGGGGTTTGATGGCTGTGAAATGAGGAATAAATAAATAATGCATGAGCTGYTTGCTCGGATGCCAGGTCTGCCCAGCGCTGGTGATGCAGAACAATTTTGCATTAAGTGGTGATACAATAACAAAACCACTTTTTCCCCCCTACAAACAGACTCACATTGTGTATATCCAGAGCATCAGAAAGCTCCCCAAATATCTTTATATCCCATAAAGTCCAAGACATCCACATCACACCTTTTATGGATCTACTCTGGATCTGGGAAGCTCCAACACACTAAGATTTTGAGTAAGCAAAACCTGACACTTTCTGTTTAAACCAGAGCAAATCTGTTCATTTTTACACAAATACTCCTGATTTTCAGCACCTCAATGATGTAAAGCTCTAAACCAATTTCTGATTTCTCAGCTATCTTTTCAAGACCTGGATCATCATTGCTGAGTCCTTCCAGATGATGCACAAATGGACATTTATACAAGCAGAGAATGGAACAGCTCAGCCAACAGCTTGTCACTGATGGAAACACAAAGGGAGTATCCAAGGGGGGTGTGTAAGCAGTTGGGAAAACAGGAATTTCAACGCTTGTGGTTCCAGTGTAAACACTGCTGTGAGACAGGTAAAGCAATCACAGGGCTCTTGCACCCCAAATTGACCCTGTGGATGCTTTTTGGGTCAGATTCAGCCAAAAGGTGGAGTTTGGATGGTTATGGCTTAGATCAAAGCCACAAATTCACCCAGCTGTTTGAGACAACCACAGATGTTTCACAGATAGTGCTGGGATGGCCCTTCATGAGCAGAGGGGTTGGGCCAGCAACCCATTCTGTGATTCTGTGATCAATCACAGACATTATTACTGATTTGGTTAAGCACAACATTCTCGGGATCTTCACAGGAAGGTTAAAATAGCAACCTCAAAATGCTCTTTTAAATTATATGTAATTTGCTATTGATTCAGGTGAGCCAGCAAAATTGCAAAACACCAAAAAGAGTTGTGTTAATATTTCAAAACCCCCACGACGCAGAATTTCTTGCTTTTATCACATCAGAGGAAGGGGTAGGAACCCTGTCCCTCCAGATCCACTTCCCTGCACTCTCCTTTATGATTGGGCACCTTTTATCTTCATTATCTTAATTTCTGGGATAAATTATACCATTCCCACAGTTTCACCAGTGCCTCTCCTCCTCCATCCCAGCTGGGAGCRATGCTAACCATTCACTCTGAGGATTGCAGTGCTCTGCTGGTCTCCTGTGTCACAAGTGTAATCAGAGGCATCCTCTGGCTCTACATTGTGAATCACAAGCTCAGCTGTGCGACCACTCAGTTTAATTTCATATTTGGCACAGGGGAAGAGCTCCACGGTGCCTTTCCTCCACTCCACTGCCGCGTTCTCCTTTGTCAGCTCACACTGGAATTTCACTGCAGCTCCTTCTTCTGCCTCCTCATCTTTGAGCTGCTTTTGGAAAAGAACTGGCAGAGCTAAAAGAAACAAAAAAAAGGAAGCAACAGGAGCTTTTATTGAATCCTGAGTGAAGTCCTGGTTAAGACAGTTAGACYGACACTTGGAGAACAAGATACTCTGCTTTTCACTGCGATATTCCTAGGAAGGATCCATATTTTCTAATTTTCCTGGAGCCACTTGGAGATCTTCCTGCATCAGAAGTATCCAYTGGAACTCATAACATTAATTTCCTTTGTTCCTTGACTCAGATCCTTCCCAGCAGTGAATTCATGGAATGATTTTATCCCCCAGTTGATCCCACAATGATCACAAGAGCAAAGAACTTCAAAACTCCATGGGCAGCCTTGAGAGGCCAGGGAGGTATTTGTCTGTCTTCTTAYAGGATTTGAAAGAAAATATTCTTTTTAATTATTTAAACAACATGTCACGTGAAAGTTCCAGATGTTACGTTAGATCATTGCTCTTTCTTTAATTTCTCCTCAGGCACAAAGCTTAAAGGTATTTCCTGTTAGAATCCAAAACTCAAACACAGCACTGGAAGAACAAAGCATCATCCTCTTCCAATCTCATTTAAAAAAAAAAAAAATCCTAATATATATCAGATGAAAAGGAAAAGACTTTTCCTTTTCATCTGATATATAGAGCAAAAGAATAATGTAATTAAAGTATTCATACTGAGCAGGATGTTTTGCCTGTTGGAGAAATGTGTTCCTTTAGGAGTCAGCTCACACCACGTACCTTTCACGCTCAGAGCTGCCCTGGTTTCCTGCTCCCCTGTGTCACAGCTGTATTCTCCTGTATCTTCTAATTTGAGATTGTGGATCAGGAGCTCTACCAGGCATCCCCTCTGCCTCATCTCGTATTTCTGATCGGGCTGCAGCCCCACTCCTCCTTTCCTCCATTCCACTGCAGCACKCGGTTTCGACAGCTCACAGCAGAACGTGGCTGTGCTTCCTTCCTCAAATTCTTTATTTTGTAAAGGTTGCTTAAATGTGACGGGCAGTGCTGTAAAATTTGAGAGGAAATCATTTCAAGGGTGTTTTAGTCCAAGAAGGACCCAGTCCTATCATCATGCCTCAGATGTGGTTTATCCTAATGATTCCATAATCTTGAGCTGCAAACCTGTCTTGGCAGAATCTTTCTTGAACTACTGAGGGAACCAGAAGCTGAGTGCAGGTGAAGTTAGGAAAGATSTGGTATGAAAGAGATCAGGCAGAAAAGCCTGGTTTGGGGTCTGAAGGAGTCAGACWTCCCTATAGAAGAGTTTCCATGCCAACTTTGGATGCTTTAGGCAAAGACCATCAGATCATGGCCTCCCACACAAAATCTTTGTCCCTTAAGAGAGGTCTGTGAGTTTGCAATATTAAAGAAAGAGTATTTTCCCCAASTAAAGCTTCTATCAACATATAAAAGATCAAGCTAGCATTTATCTCTTGGTAAGAGATCACAGTGAAGTGATAAATGGGAGGGGAAACCCATATTTCAGGCAAGGCCTTGCTGTGGATGGCAGAAGGAGTGGAGGAAAACAGGTGTGAATTTGAGCTGTCTGCAGTCAGTATTTGCACCTGAAGTTCAAAGCTTCCAGAAACCTTACAATGCAYTCACATGTCACAGAAATCCCTTATCCCCTAATTGGTGCATCCCTTACTATCCCAAGCAGGCATTACATCCAATTAGGCATCCCTTACACCATTCCCATATTCAGCCACACTCCCTGCACTCAGGGCAGGAGGTTCACCGTATTTTGACATAATGACAACCTTCAGGGCCAGGTTGGTTTGGGCTCTGAAGAGCCTGGTCTAGTGGAAAGYGTCCCTGTCCATGGCATGGATGGAAATGSATTATCTTTAMGGTCCTTTCCAACCCCAACTATTCTAYGATTCTGTGATTTAATTGCTTTGACGCTCAYTAATCACTCCAGACACTGCAAGGAGAACCTTTCTACCTTGCCCACAAGACATGGCCAAGAAGAACATTGATTGAGGCATGCACCAGCAGCCAAACAGATCGATGGCTACAGAGAACCCCAGGAGAAGCTCCTTTCACTGCAGCCCTGTGGAGCCCAGGGTCACCACCCTGCCTACCATGCACGGCCACCACGGCCGCTGTCCGCTGCTGTCCGCAGTCGCAGGTGTAAATCCCYGAATCGTCCACTTCCAGGTCACAAATGACCAGTTCAGCAGCACAGCCCTGCTGCCTCATCTCGTATTTCAGACCAGGGTAGAGGGTGACATCCCCTTTCCTCCACTCCACTGGAGCCTTGGGTTTGGTGAGCTCACATCTCAGTGTCACTGTGCCGCCTTCCTCTGCCTCGGTGTCCTGAAGCTCTCGTTTAAAAAGGGCTGGTAGGACTATAAAATAGAAATGTGATTTGTCTGCTGCAGCTGGGGCTGGGGAAAATGGAAGGAGAGGGAAAATGAAAGCACCAAAAGAGATTATTTTTTTTTCAGATATCTCTGAACCTCTGAACCTCAGCTCTAGATTCAGACTGCAAGGTTAYTTCCCCAAAGAAGTAAAAGGAATATCTGCAGAGCAAGAAGTGGATTTCAAGGAGTTAAATTCGCCATGAAATATATATAGAATCTTAATCTAATCTATGATCTAAAAATGGAATTATAGTTTCCTACTGTAAAAGTAGCCAGTGTGCTGCCCTGATCACTGCAGAGATGTTCTGAAGATCAGCAGGAGACTTTAAGAGTTCAGATTCCCTCCTAAGACAAAGAGTTGCAAGAGTTCATGCTCCCTTTTAAGGCAGGGAATTTTAAGAGTTCAGATTCCCGCTTAAGACAGGCCACTTGCAGGAGAGATTACAATTATCCTGACAGAAACACACTGAAAAAAAGCATTTAGTTCTGTTCTACAATTCCCATTTCCTGGTCCCTCCCAGAGCTGTACAGACCAGGTTATGCTGCACACCTTGGGATTTACAACCTTTTCCTTTGGCAACACTAAACCCCAACTGGTATTATTTTCAGAAAACATGAGAACCTTTTCCCCTTTTTGTGTTGTTTTTTACCCTTGACTGTCAGCGTGGCAGCTGTCTGCTGATCTCCACACACGCAGCTGTAAACTCCAGCATCCTCCTCCTGCAGCTCATGGATRATCAGCTTGGCAACAGCCCCGTCCTGCCTCATTTCATGTTTGCTGCTCTCTTTGAGCACGTCCTGCCCTTTCTTCCACTGCACCTCRGCAGGTTTTGTCAGCTCACACTGCAGAGCAGCCGTGCCATTCTCCACAGCTTCCACATCCTTCAGCTCTCTCTTGAAYTCTGGAGGCAGTGCTGAAAGGAGTTACCACAGAGAGGGTGAATTTTCCTTAAAAAGCAGCTCGGCGAGGTTCCTGGGGGAGTGGCTTCATGGGGCAATGCCAAGCCCTGATCCAGGCCAGTGGGACACAATGGAAAATGTCCCCCAGCTTCCCTGGACACTGCATCAGGGCAAGGGAAGTGAGATGAACCAGCACAGCTGAGGGGAACAAACACCAACAGGGAACGTTTTTCCCAATTCCAACAAAAGGAGGAAGCACAGGGAGTCCAAAGGAACACAGAAGCCCAAACAAACAGAGAGGGATGGGAACAGACCATGACAACAGAGACGTGGGAAGGTTTGGAGGGCGCTCACCCCGAGGATTACGTTACCGTGCACTGTCAGGGCGGCCGTGCTGCTCTTGTCTCCACACACACAGGAATAATCCCCACTGTCAYCCAGCTCCAGGTCATGCACCACCAGCTCCACCACACGTCCCTCCTGCCTCATGCTGTGCTTGGGGCCCGAGGTGAGGACRTGCTGGTCCTTCTTCCACTGGACACAGGCAGGGGCCTTGCTCAGCTCACAGCGCCAAGTGGCCGTTCCTCCTTCCACCCCCTCCTGGCTGGTCATTTCTTCTTGGAAAAATGGAGGCACGGCTGAAGGATGCAGGTAAAATGTGTTACAAACCAAGGGTGTCTCCTGGGAGGGGTGAGGGAGTGACAGGGGAAAGTTCTGGAGGTTGTGACAGAGGCAAGTGGTCAAGGAAAGGTGAGCATCAGCCACAAAGAGAGGGAAGAGAAATGAAAACATTCTGGCGGGGATGGAGCTCCTAATCCTTTTGGGTTTACAATGGTTTTCTACAGCAAAACTGTACTGTCCTCCACAAACTGACACCTGCTTTCCTCCTCAGGAAAAGTAAGAACACCAGCTGTGAGCTGCTTAATTCACCTGGGTTTGTGTCCTTCACAAACTTCATGGCTTTGCACTCTTTTCCTACTCACAGAGCTGCCCCGCTGTTCTCTGTCTGTTSACACAGCTCCCTACTCATCCTCACTCTTCTTCCTTGAGATATCCTTGAAGAAGTGAATCCAGAGATCACAGATCCTTCTTGACTCCCAAAGCAAATCTCCAGATGCTGAATTTCAGCCTGGGTTCTTGTGTCAGAACACATTTTCCCCACTWAACATAATTCTTGTACCCATTGCAAATTGCATCTTTGAAATAAATGTGGTGACCTTCACGTAACTCCATTCAGTAGCTAGATGGGATAATGAGATAATCCACCAGTTTAACACAGTTGGATATCTCAGATCTCAAWATTAGTGTCCAGAGCAGTGAGACTAAGTTAAAATATCCAGGCTAGARAACAGGTTCAGCCTTGATTTGGAACATTTTCCATTTCAGCAGCATTAAAGGGCTTGTCTGCCCAGCGAATTATTCTTCCAACAAAGCAAGACCAAAAGGAGGTCACAGAAAGCATTTATTCGTTCCTTAGAAAGTAATTCTCCTAATGGAAATCTATCTTTGTGTGTTAGAACAGAAGTTATGGGCACAAAGCCCAGAATAAACATAACTTAGTGCAGAGGAAATCATAACTAACAGAGCCTTATTCTGGATACTCCTTGTTCCCTATAATAAAATGGTTGATATTGAGAATTCCAGAAGCAATGTCAAAGAATAAACAGGTTTTGTTGTTTAGAGAATAAATTCAGGAAAGGAAAGACCAAAGAATGATGGGGTTACATGGTATGAAAGGAATGGCAAAAGGGAAAGATGGAAGGATAGCAGGTTTGTGTTTAAAGGAAAGGAAAAAACCAAAGGATGGTGCAGAGAAATGCAGACAGGGGTTTTCCAGCCTGCAGKTGAGGAGGGGCAGGGAAAATTTTCAAATTAAAGGAAGTTCAGTTAATAAGGATGAACAGACAGAGGTGGAAAATTGAACAGCTTAGAGCAGAGGACAGAGGTTTCCAGAGGAAACAGGAGGTCAGGAGGGCTTTACCCTGGACTGTCAAGACAGCCGTAGTCTGGTGCTCTCCACACACACAGGTGTAGGCTCCTGCATCCTCCTCAGCTATTCCATGGATCACCAGCTCTGCCTTGGCCCCTTCCTGCCTCATTTTGTATTTCCCACTCGCTTTGAGGATCCTCTGGTCCTTCCACCACTCCACTGGAGCAGCCTTGGAGAGCTCACAGAGCAGGGAGACTTCTCCACCTTCTTCTGCCTCCTTGTCCTGCAGCTCCTCCTTAAAGAGCGGTGGCAGAGCTGGAGGATGCAACATGGACAAAGGAACACCAGAAAAATGGAATTAAAACCCTAATTTCCTTCTTTACATTATTTTTTTCCCCTCATGCCTTTTTTTTTCTCAGCCTGTTATAGATATTCTCAGCCATAACAGAGTTCAGAAACTCCAAAAACATCTTTTTTTGAGTGTGATGTGATTTCACTCACCCTGAGGGCTCAGTCCCTGGGTGTCTGTTGTTATTCATAAAGTGCAAAACAGAAAGATCCAGACCTCAGAGCAACAGCTCTCACAAACAACTCTGCTGGATACAAAACTGTTTTACCCACACAAATAAAATTTTTTGAGGTTGCTGTTGTTATTTTCTGGTTTGTTTTTATTGAACTATTACAGCCCCACCTACATGAAAACAGTCAGATTGCAAAATAAAACTSATTGAATTTGAATTTGAAGTTTTTGAAGAAATTTGAAGAAAAAAATTGAAGTTTGAAGGGTTATAACATCCAATAAGCATTTCTGATTCTTACTAATGGGAAGCATTTTGGAAATCACAACCCAAAGACAGAAGAACCTGCAGAAAASCAATTATTAACATTTGCTCACAAAATAAAGGGGTAAAGGGGTACAGAATGCAAAGAATGCACCCCAAAAGCCTCAGGAGAAGTCCATGCCAGATCTTAGKTTTTKGRAAAAWYYKGRAGGG